TGGCCACTGCACTCCAGTCTGGGTGACAGAGTGAGACTCCAACTCAAAAAAAAAAGAGATCCTAAGCACAGATGGATACTGGGAGGCTGAGGCAGGAGGATCCCCTGAGTCCTGGAGTTCAAGGCTGCAGTGAGGTATGATGGCATCACTGCACTCCAGCCTGGGTGACAGAACAAGACCTTGTCTCCAAAAAATAAAAAGAACATTCCCACCCCCCAAAAGAAATCTTAATCACTGATGGAAGCTATTGAATAAATCAGTGAATACTGTGGCAGAACTGACTTCACCCTACATTGTTTGCTAGACTTGCCATCCTCACCATCGGTTCAAACGGGCCCAGTACCTCTCTCAAAGCCAATGACCAGATATTCTCATAGAATGTACTTTCATTACTGGAATTTGAGTAAACTCTCTCTCCCACGTTTAGACAGATACATGAAGAGAAGAGGTAAGTAAAATGTCTTCTTCCCCAAGTCCTCTCAGACTTAAACCGTTAAAACAAATGACTTATTGAAGACTATACATTTGATACAAAAGCTAGAACTCATTTTCATTGGTTTAAATACTATTTGCAGGCCGGGTGCGGTGGCTCACATCTGATAATCCCAGCACACTGGGAGGTTGAGCTCAGAGGTTCGAAGCCAGCCTGAGCAACTTGGTGAGACCTTGTCTCTACAATTGAAAAAAAAAAAAAAGCTGGGTGTGGTGGTACGTGCCTGTAGTTCCAGCTACTTGTAAGGCTGAGGCAGAAGGATCGCACGAGCACAACAGCTGGAGGCGGCGGTGGCTATGAGCATGCCACTGCACTCTAGCCTGGGTGACAGAGACTCTGACCCAAACAACAACAACAACAACAACAACAACGAACTATTTTCACCTGGTAGAATTATATTCTTTTTTTTTTTTTTTTTTCCGAGTTGGAGTCTCACTGTGTTACCCAGGCTGAAAGGCAATGGCGCACTCAGGCACCACAACCTCAACTGGCTAGGCTCGGGCAACCCTTACACCTCAGCCATCCAAGTAGCTGGAAGTACAGACATGCGCCACCATGCCTGGCTAATTTATTTATTTATTTATTGTAGAGATGAGGTTTTGCCAAGTTGTCCAGGCTCCCAAAACCTAGTCTCCCAAAGTGCTGGGATTATAATACATGAGCCACTGCGTCTGGGCTAGAATTATGTTATTTACAGGTGAGTTTTTTTTTTTGTTTTTGATAACTAAAGAAATTTAACTTAGTTTCTTTCTTTTTTTTTTTTTTGAGTTGTAGTCTCAATCTTGTCACCCAGGCTGGAATGCAGTGGTACACTCATGGCTACTGCAACATCGACCAGCTGGGCTTAGGCTATCCTTCCACCTTAGCCTTCCAAGTAGCTGGAACTACAGATGCACGCCACCACGCCTGACTAGTTTTTGTGAT